ACGGGCAGCGATCGAGGCGCTTCTAAATCCGGTAGTGCTATCGTTAGACGTTCTCAGCCCATATGTTAAACCCTTATACAAGGCTTTACTTCGGAGAAGCTTTAACGAACATTTATACTGGTACCCTCTGGATGGTGGTTTTATCGCGGTTGGTCTTAGACATATTTCTTTAAGTGGCAGGCAACATAGCGAGAAGGAAGCGGTGAAGCTGCTGTTAGAAAAGGGCGTCGTTACTGAAGTGATGGATTGCGGCCGACGGCCACCGCTAAACTTGGCTGCTGGGAACTAGGAGGCGGCAGCGAAGCTATGTCATGTCCAAACCCCCTCTTTTCTTCCCTCTATATTTTCTAATCATAGCGTGCCACAGGAGGGGTCTGGGGGGAGCCTTCAATTTATAGTCGCCCTAGTATTCTAGAATCTCCCAGCCTTTCAGATTTCTAATCATTTCGAGCGCTCCATTTCGTCCTGCATACATGTACATGCAAGCGGCTCCTGAGCAAGATGTGGCGATGTCATCAGACTGTGGCCTACTCACGTCGGGCTTGGCGGAATGGCAGATCGGTGCCTAGCGCTCAGCCGCCTTGGGACTCGTCTTGTTTCCAATTGGCTGTTCCGCTGGCGCGTCCGATACGCTGTTTATCACGCTTTCCGCAACTGCAACATCCACTTCGCTTGCTCACGTGGAACAGCACTAGAACAGTTCCTCCAGGCTTCCTTTGGCGGGCCGCTTGGCGGCACGGTCCCTCCTGTGATCCAACACATGATCTCGTGATAGTCTTAGGACAGGACCGACCATGTCCTGGAGCTGCCCGTCTTTTCGTTTCAGAGACCAAGAGTAATGCAGCTGCTGCTGGAGCGGCTGTTTTGCGGCACATAAGCAATCATTTGTCCTAGAATCAGGACTACAGTGATGTACCAGGTCGTAGAAACGCCATGTATTTGCCAACACAGAGAAGTGCAGCTCATAGAGTCGTCGACGATTTTCTAGAGGTCTCCCAACAGAAGGTGTATACAGTGTGCTGCTGGCACGGCATACCCACGACCGCAGCTGTAATGCTCAAGGGTTCCATTGTGACGATTGTGGTAATTGGAGAGGGTGAGAAGCGCATCCCCAGACTGGCGATTGCTGCCAAACGGGTTTCTGAGGCTCCATCACCTTCACATCTAGCTTCTCGGCCCCCTCTCACCGTCCTTCGTCGTAGTACACATGACTAAGCGTAGATCGTACAAGATCCTCATGTCTTTTCCGGCCCATATCTTCGGCAATGTTCTCGCTCATATACGGAAGATGCTCTTCATCTAATACAGGTGGAGAACCTTGTAGAGCTCGACGACCCTGTTTTCCAACACTCCGCGCCCTTGGTGTCTGATGGTGGCAGGTGGAGAGTGAGTACCGACTGCTTCTCGCAGATAATGGCAAGAATCCGGCGCAAGGTTAAGACGGTAAATCAGAAATTAGTCAGTATGTTTGAAGGCACTTGAACTTCGAAGCGATGGAATAATGATGATCCTGGGATTATTGTGCCGCTGATCCACCCTACTACCTCGCATGAACAGAATCAGACAGATCTTGCTCACTACCTTTGTACAACCTTCCTCGTTAGCTTATAACTGTAACCTATCTACCGCCTACTACCTTTTCTACCGCCTACTTAACTTAGCTATTCTCTTTATCTTTTTGTATACCGCCTAAATACCACCTACCAAGTCAATCCACTACACTTCCCAATCGGTTAGGCAGCCCTCGTTGGCATGGAGATCGGCATAGAGACTCCAATGTTCGCTTCCGTCATTGCAAACCGGTGGCCTGTCTAACCAGAGGCGCCAGCCTCTCTCCTACGCCATCTCTACTGCAAAAAGGTCTACCTACACTACTTTCCCTTGCGGAGGTCTGCAACAAATCAGTTAAGATGGTTTGAAATCCCGACTGCCAGGCCTCATCATCAACAAGTGTCGACTGGAAGTCGAAGCTTGTCGGAGTACTCCCTAAGAGCGATGATGGCTGCATTATGCTTATAAGGATCCTTATGTTGGCTTGGATAGCCTCTTATAAACTCCCTGAGGCACTGCCTAAAACCGTCCTAGGCAGCGGTGGCCGCTCGGTTTCCCGACTCTGTGAGGGTCCTGTGGATATCAATCTCGTCGAATGTGGCTCCATTGGGCAACGTCGGTTTCGGGTCCTTGAACTTGAGCTGGAAGTCACGGTAACCGGCGCTCTCCATCTGTCGGCAGAGTCAAAGTCAGCCCAGAATACTTATGGCTAGTCGCGGCACAAGCACAAGGTAACTGACCCACTCATTGATTCCCGGACGCCAAGGTCAACGGCATTGTTCAGCGTACCAGCGAATCCTATTCAGAGGGTTTAATGCCAAGCTAAACATCAGTATGACAGCCTGAGAACATGGATGTTACCTTAGAAACCCCTCCTCTACCTGCTTGGCGCAGTACCTCACCTTATGCAAGGAACAGGTGCTACACTCTTGGGTCCGTGGAGTCTGTGTTCATGGTCACACCAGGAAAGGCAATATCATGTTTGTGCCTCAAACGGCACAAGGTTCGATCTAGTCGGAACGGTAAGCCGAGAACCTTACCATGGCAATGGCTTGAAATCAAGCGTGTATGTGAGTTGGGGGCTACCCCGCAAAGTCCAAAAATCCTCAGGGGCAGGGACCTTCTCATTCAGGAGTTGCTCCATGCCATGATGGCGTACAGGCAAAAAGCAAAGACCCAATGTGCTTATGATATGTATTTGCGGTTTCGAGGGAGTGCCTCTCGCCCAGTCTTGGATCGTCAGACCTTCTTCTCTCGTTCCTCTCCAGTCCCTACTCCTGAGGTCTACCGTCTTGCCCTCCCCCCACGGTCCCGAATCTTGCTTTGTAGATTGCGCGACATGGAAGATCTTTGGAGGGCGGTCGTTGTGTCGTTGGCGTCTACGCCAACGTCACTGGCCGACTTGTTCTGGTCCAACTACGAAAATTGCCCGCTGCCATGTCACGTCGTTGGCCAGAAACCTAGGAATTAGACACGATATCATAAAGTCAGCGATCTTGACTGGTGCCAGCAACCGCTGCTGTTTGACATGGGACTGCACAACCCCCTCGATGAGCCCGGGAGCAGGCATATCACCATCCGAACCTGCGCCGTGACTGACGCTGGTCACACAAGACTCGCAGTCTGGTCTCCCTACTGGAGAGACAACACGCGGCCATTAATAACACGGAGCCAGCGACTTACCGCAACTTTTCACAGACCGCCACATGTGGAAGCTCGCTATCTTTACTAGAGCGTAACTCGGTCAATGTCCGCATCGCTTCGGAGGGTCTCGCCGACACAGACGCGCGGGACACGGCGGCAGTCACCGAGGATTTGATCCTCTACCTCGAGGCGGAGCTAGACTGCGAATCTACCATTGTTTTTGCCAAGTTGGGTCAGGCCGTGGTCGGCCTGTACGTGGTTCCCAGATTGAAAAGGCAAAGCATCGTGCAGGATGCCTTCACTGCCACAACCGGCGCCGGCAAGGTGCCCATCCGCATGGGTGCTCAGATCTGCGAGCCGGATCCTTTCAGGGCCCAGACATTTGGCATCTACGCAAACAACAAAGGTAACATCTCGGCGGTCCAGGCCCTGGTCCGGGACTGGAGCACTGGCATCTGCCTCTCAGATTACGACCAAGAGGAGGTTCTGGAGGGCAAGACCGTCGGCATCTTATCTGCCATCAATAACAGCAATGGCGAGCGCAAGAGGGAGGAGCTCCATGCCCGAGCCACATGCAGTTACGCCCAAGCAGGCCCCGGCGATGGCTGCTGGGCAATTGCGCAAAAGTGCAAAATCTCTCAGGCCGACCTCATCAGTTACAACGGGGGCAAGTCGGACTTCTGCAGCACCCTCATATCAGGCCAGTACGTGTCTTGCGGGGCGGGCACCCTGCCCGATTTCTCGCCGCAGCCCAACCCGGACGGGTCATGCAAGACTTACACCATCAAGGCCGATGACACGTGCGCCACCATCGCCGCGGCACACCAGATTTCCAACTATACCAAGCTCGAGGAGGTCAACCAAAAGACCTGGGGTTTTGCCGGTTGCCGCTACATCCAGCCCAGCCAGTACATCTGCCTCAGCAGCGGCGATCCGTCCATGCCCGCCCCCTACCCGGACGCCGTCTGCGGGCCCCAGGTGCCCAGAACAGTGAGGCCGACCAACGGGACCGAGCTCGCCGACCTGAACCCGTGTCCGCTCAACGTATGCTGCAACATCTGGGACAACTGCGGGCTCAGGGAGGACTTTTGCATCTATGCCCCGGCCGACACGGGGGCGCCGAGAACGTCCACGCCAGGGATCCACGGGTGCGTCTCAAAGTGCGGCATGGACATTGTCCATTCGCTCAACGGGCCTCAGGAGTTCCGTGTCGTGGGCTAATTCGAGTCCTGGAACAAGGAGAGAGAGTGCCTGAACATGGACGTTACCAAGCTCGTGCCTCCCCAAGTTGCACCCGTCGGACACGAATGGAGTGACTACACCCACATCCACTTTGCCTTCCCAGATATCACGCCCAACGATTTCACGGTCGATGTGAGCGAGGTCCAGGACCAGTTTGACGCCTTCAAGGCAATGTTAACCTGGGTGCCAAGAAGATTGTCTCGTTTGGCAGATGAGACTTTAGCAACTACAAAGAGTCGTATACCGTGTTCCGTACAATGGTGGCTACCGAGGTGATCAGGCAGAAGGTGGCACGGAATGTGATCCGCTTCAAGACCGAGCACAAGGTCGATGGCCTGAACTTGATTGGGAGTACCCTGGCGTAAGAACTCGCATTTACTTCCTTGAAGATTAGAGACTGATTGGTCTGCAGGCTACCGACATTGATGTGCCCAACCCCAAGGACATCATCACCAACACCATGGGCAGCTTCCAGGAGGTCCGAACAACCTCCTGGCCATGAAATACGAGATCCTGTTGGTTGCATGGGACGGCCCCGTCGACGACGTGCTGCAGGTCATGTTAGTGCCCGTCTTCATGGTGACAGAGGCCGTCGAGGGCATGAAGCAGGCTAAAGAGATGGGCGAGGACGAAGAGAAATGGGAGGAGAAAAGGCCCGTGACAAGGCCAAGCAGCTAATTCTCACCACCATCGGTGCCATCCTCTTCGTCGTGCCCTTCGTCGGCGAAGTCGGCGCCGTGCTTGCCGACGCCAGCACTCTCGCTCGGTTTGCCCCCATCGCCGGCGTGGCGGCCAACCTGGCCTTTGGCATCTACGGAATGGTCGACGACCCCAATTCGGCCATCAAGGGCCTCCTGGGCATGATGTTTGGCCTCGGTAGCTTTTCCAAGGTGGCTAGGTCCCCCAAGGGCTTCAAGGACATGGCTGCCGTGCGGGCGGGCTTGAGAACGAACGGCGGTGTCAGCAAGTTTGGTGGCAATTTCCAGAAGTGGGACGATGCGCTCCAAGATGCCATCAAGTTGTGTCGAGCTTGATGGCTATAGCTCTCTCCATTAATGTTTGTCAACATAGGGTCATACCATACTAGTACCCCCTATTCTACATGCAAGTTTTATTTTCCTGTTTGTAGATGAGCTATACTGGCCTACTGATAAAGAGAAGCGCTGGAGGAGCAAGAGCAGGAGAGCAGAATCATATACTCATATACTGCCCTACTTACCTTACGTAGAATTCATATTAATTTGTGTGCTTCGCTCGGCATCCCGGACCGCAGCGAACTTTGACTTGGAGAAAACGGAAGGAGTTTACTTAGCGTGCAGAGCTAAAGGATTGCTGACAAGCCCTTTGAGGGGAAGGTGGGTCCATTTGCCGAGTCATCCGGCGGCTCTACTGTGTTGTTGGCAGCGGTCGTTCTGAATTGAGGCTCTTCGGGGTGGCTTGAGATTCCGGGAGATAGATTAATGCTTGAGTTGGCCGTATTTTTGTTCTTGGAATCACATGCGGATTGGTCCAGTACCGCTTACAGTGTACGTCTCCGCAATGGGTCTAGCAAGTTTGCCCAGTGTCGCGGAAGCACCTTGCAGGTAGCACTATTGCTGTGAGTTCGAGCCGAAAGGGTTTGGATACGACGTTGGGATAGCTTCGATTGGGTATACCGGCTGACAGTGCGTACCAGTTCACATGAGAATTGCGCCGTCTTACTATTTGCATCTTTGCATGCTATGATGTGGGAGAAAGAGGTATGGTGATGAATAGTGAAGGTGGAAGGCAGGCAATGAGAGGAGAAATCAATTTGCTGGCGAGACATGATCACGAGAAAGGAGGCTGGGCAGACTGAAATAGAGAGAGAGACGGATATAAAGAGAGACAAACATCACACCGTCAAGTCTCTCGGCCCATCCCTCAGTCTCCATCTCCAGGACACCTTGCAATTTCTCCCAGAGCGCCTCAGCGATCCAACCCCCTAACGCCACCATGAAGTTCTTCTCCCTCCTCACGGCCGCCCTCCTCCCCATGAGCCTGCTCGCGGCCCCCGTTGCCGACGAAGTTACCGCCATCGAGATCGAGACTCACGCCGCCGCCGACGCTCGCACCGCCGTCGAGGCCCGCGAAGCCGCCGACGTCTCGCCCAACAAACCCGCCCTCAGTCTTGACAAGCGCGAGGTTCAGGCCTGCTATATCGTGGGCGGGGCCAGCACTGTCAACTGCCGCTCCGGGCCTAGTACCGACTTCAGCGTGGTGAGGACCGTCAAGAAGGGGGATGTCTGGGGATTTACCTGCGTCAGGAAGGGCGAGTGTGTTGTGATTAATGGGGCTACTAACTGGTTAGTTTCATCTACCTCTATGATGATCATGACCTACTGAACCGGAACTGGACTTGATGGTGCTGACCTTCTTCACTCGTCTCTCAGCGGTTGGGATTGGTCGTACACGCTTGGCTGCTACATCAACGGTCACTACACTGACAGCCACTGCACTCTCGGTATGTTAGATTCCGTTATCTCCTTTCAGACAGAAATGGTGGACTCTGTTAGACTCGCTAACACAATTCCCAGACCGGCTTGGCTGGTGCTAGAGCCATGGCGCTCAAGCACACATGCACCAGTCCGGTATAATCCCAGTATGCTGTTGGTATTGTGATCAAGATACCTATTTCTGGGGTTTCTTTTCCTATGTCTGCTCTGCTTCTTTGCTTGATGGCTTTTGGATTTAGTCCTAAATCATGGTTGAGATTCAGGATCAAGAGAATCTCAGATTCTGGTTTGCTATCGAAGGTATCTGAGCTAGGGAAGAGGATAGGAAGTTTGGACGACTTCACTTCCAATAGCATTCACTTGAACCTTTCCACCGATTCTTATATCTGAATTCTGAAATCTGATCTGAAGCCAGGATTTATCGCAAGTTACCTACCTACCTATGTCGCCCAGCTTAGTATGTGCAGTGAAATGATGTTAGGAAGCACTTCGACAATCACCCACCCGTCAAACCGGCCGAGTTTGCGACATTCTCGGCGGAAACCGTTCGAGATATCGACCTCGTCGCGGTGGTCGAAGTGCATCAGCCTTGGAAGGCGCTCAAGCTTCCCATCTTATGCAGCTTCTGCTGTGACAAGGACCTAGGCAACTTCCATCTCGACAACGTTCACTGGCTTTATCTCCACTGCACAGGTTTTGCAAGTTGTTCCAATTTCTTCATGTGCCAAAAATGTCTCAGAGAGCGAAAAACACAGAGCATTCCTGTAGAGATCGAACTCATGCCTCACCTTCTCCATGGTCGCTTTATCGCTATCACCTCTCGCTCCTACTGGGCACCTGTGTTCGATGGCAGCGATATCGATTAGTTTCTCGCTTTTGAGGAGGCTGGCACAAATATCGACAAGTTTTTCCTCTACTTCCCCTGGTTCTTCCATTCGTTCCAAGGAATGGGTCAATTACGGGAGGTCGATCGCGAGCAAGCACTCATGCAGCCCCTACAAGATCATTTTCGCTCCTTGAACTTTAATTCGGAGGCCTGGTTGGATCATGCGGCCACGGACAACGTCTATCGCTTTCTGGATGCCCCAATCGATTGGTACATGCGCATATATGTCTCTGGAAACTGGGAGCAGTTCTACGAGCAACTCCAGCCCCTGGTGGACAGGAGAATTCACGTTGCTCGCCAGTCAAAAAAGCTAGCACTCCTCCTCGCAGAATTGACAGAGTTCGTCGAACAGAAGATCGAAAGATACGGAGAATGAGACATACCCCATGAACCAGCAGCTCTGCTTTCGGCCGGGTTATCCGAAGCTATGTTGCCGAGCATGTTCAATCGATATCTCGTTTCGTTACACTTCAGGGGGCCTTGAACCGCGACATCGACAGGCAGAAGCTACATCGAGTCTTGCACCCGCGAAAACGATGAGGAGCTTGCCGCGCATGGCCAGGAGCCTCTAGTTTCAGCAGGGGATGGCAGCCGACATGCCTTCGCCGGCACTCCGTTTGTCAGCTATCTCAGCAACAACCCGTTTATAGAAAGAATTCGGCTGTGGCCCATGTTTACGTCAATCTTTAGAGATGACGAAAGACCCAGAGAACTGAATCCGTCAACCTTGCTCAACGAATTTGTCCCCTACATGCAATACACAGTCAGTCTCAGATTATCTTGCGTTATTTTTTCCTTTTGCAAGCTGGATGTGCTCACTGGCCCCAAGGCTAGTCCGGAGAATGAGCTCGGTTCCTAGAGCGAGATCTGGCTGTTCGCAACGCGCTCTTTAAAATACAATACCAAGCTGTGAGTTGTCGCTGTAGCTTTGTGACTTTGTTCTTTCATATCGCCAGCACTAGTAGCGAAGGCAGCGGTTGCCTGATCAGCCCTGACACAAACACAGCTTCCGGATTTCACCACCCTCAGCCCTTTACCTAGCAACTCCATACAAGGAAGAGCTTCAACGATTATGCAATGGTTTACCGAGACCCGCTTTGTCAGTGGGGTGTTCCCTTCACAGACAAGCAAAAGCTCCTTCCGCTATAGATTGCTCGGCGATCACGACAAGGCGATAGATATCATCATACCTATCATCAAGGCCCAGGCCCCGGAGGGGCTGTCTGCTCCATCGTCAGAGGAGATCTTGGAAAACATCCTGGAGGCTCAGTTGTGTTTCCTCGAGCAGGGCTTCATACGAAAGGCTGCATTTTGCGTGGGTTACATGCATAAGAAGCGAAACGTCAGGGCCGACTACCCGGCGGATTCGTCAAGACCAGTTCTACTGCCGCCTGCATACTCGCATTTTCCCTCTACGCAGAGTGCTTCAGCCTCACGAGCGGCTGGCAGCAGGCTCCTACGGTACTACCTTTAATGTTCCGCCGTTACTGTCTGCATGAGTCTTCTGGCGATACTAATACCGGTTACACCCTCAAAGATCGTTTGCATTGGGTGAGATATGAAGATCTTTTCTTCAACTACATTTCTAAGTTTTAATGACCGTGCAGGTCCAAATAGAAGATTCTTCACAAGACAGTTTTCGCGGCATACCGTGACATTCTGCGAAGTTGTCCGGTAGACGCGGCCGTCAAGCGTTTGCAGACCATCCAAACATATCTCGCGCGGCACTTAGACGGCATACAAGTCGCTGCGATGACGTGGCAAGTGGCACTGCTCGAGATCGACATGAAGAAGAGATGGGTAAGGGATCAGTACATGGAACGCGAGTCGTCATTCAGCATGATACACTTCCTTTACGATGGACAGGCCTTTTTGGCAATCGTCGAGCGCTCCATACGGAGCCTGCGTGCACGAGGGAGGGAGTTCGACATCCTGCGTGGCCATGCCTCTGTTCTGGAAGCGATTCTTTACTCCGAAGCTGGGAAAGTGCGCAAGTCGACATATGCTGCAGCTCAGGCTATGAAACTCTATAGAAACGCGGGATGCACCGTCGGCTGCTTGGACGTGGAAATCTTCAACGCCCCGCCGACGTACTCTTTTATCGGTCCCCTCTACGACAAGCTACGGGCTAGAAACGACCTTAGCAGGCTTCGCTCTCTTCGGTGGCAGTTGACACAACGGGCAATGTTCCCGCGTGCACTAATACCACTGCCGTTACCTGGCACAACAGACAGGTGCTGGATCTTTGCGGTCTCGCCTACGATGCAGGAGACATTATATCCTACTATCGCTAGAACATGAGAAAGTACGCCGGGGATGACGTGGTTGGCGCCTGCATCCAGGCCTCCGAGGAGGTGCTCAAGGGAAACTCAGCAGTGCACAGTACCCTGTTAGCTACCATGGCTTTCAACCTGGCCAAAGCTTACCTCACACTCGGTAATCACTTTGCCGCCTCTCTAAACTCCCCGTTTCACCTCAGCCTCACGAGCGTTCAATATGACGCGGAAAGAGAAGGCTATTCCGTCTGCCCTACATTGTTTCTCAGAGGCGATCGCTGCAGAGCTTTCGTTGCAAGCCCGATTTTCCGCGGTGAAAAATCGATGGAACGGGTGGCTGAACGATGACACACCGAAACGGGGGGACGAAGGGCAGCCTCGGTGCGACGAGATAGAACGCTTCATTGACGGCGCTTGCTTCCTGCCTCTGCTTGCTAGCCGGCTGAAGCGTTCTCATGTGAATGCAGTCCCAGACCACGACGAGATGCTCGAAGATGCCTTGATAAACCACCTACGCGTGGCAGTCGACTTGTACGCCACGATGCCCGTATACACTGCATCGGAGATTGTGCCACGGTTTTCCCGGGCTTTCGGCGCCATGGCGGCTTACATCGGCAATCCGGAACTCGCCATTCGATGCTACTGGGAGGGCATTCGATGCTGCCACTCAGAGGATCTCTTCTCTATCATGCGTCTACGGCTCGATACTGGCAAGCTCATGGTCACGCTGGCTCAACGGGACCTGGAGCACTGGATGCACGTAGTCGACCCTGGGAGACTTCTCCTGGCTTCCGCGGCAGTGATGTCAAAAGATTCACCGCTATCTGGCTCGGCTCTCTACAGCATCGAGGCAAACCTTTGGCTTGTGTCGTCACTGATGGACGAGGCCCGGGAATATAAGAGGATGATGGACACAATCCTCGTGACCCCCGTCCCAATCCTCGTCCCCATCTTCGCCCTCATCCTCCTCCTCACTATCCCTATAGTAGTCATCTCCAATCTCGGCTGTCGTACAAACGGGATGGTCGTCAATGGACGCCGAGTTGATTAATCCCGCATGCTCGCAGGCTTCCTCTGCACCCATGCGGCGCCACCGCACAGTTCTGCTGTCGGCGTCGTATCGTTCCACGAGCAGCTGCCTGTCCTCGGGTCTGACATCTCCATCTCCTGACCCTTGCGCCGGACCCAGCGTCAGGTCGTTCAGGACGTAAATGACGCCCACCTTGCGCGTGAGGTGATAGTAGTTGTACCGGGCCTCGAAGGGTATCTCGAACCCCTCTGGCAGACCCAGACCCTCAACATCATCCGCTGCCAATCGTCGCCGTAATCGTATCGCGCGGCATCCGAGAGCGGGCAGTCAGGGGCGTCAACAGAAGCCAGGATGGCCGTAAACGCCTCGTCGCTGCCAGGCCCATAGTAGGTCCGCAGCCAGACGTCGCCGTTCGGCTTGCGTTCGTTGTACGGCCGGGTGAGCGCCAGAATGTCTTGCTCGGCCTGTGAAAGATCCAGGCATAGGAGACTTTACGGTCATTGACTTGCCGGGTATAGGCCTAGTACCAGACAGGACAGGGGGAGGTTAGTGGCGGCCCGGTGTCCAGTGCCGGTGCTACGATGGATCATGGATGGGATGCCTTACTAGTCGTTCAGAAAGGGGCAACTGGAGAAAGCGAGAAAAAATCTGCGCCGTCTGCTTGTCCGGAGGTTGCGTGGAGTCGGCGTCCCATTGTTCCTGGAGGCGGTTGGTCTCTGCAGAGCAAAAAGGGGGAGGGGGGAGCAGCAAATGGTCCCGCTCACTAATAAGAAGAGGTCGCAGCCCCAGACGTCGATATGCAAAGGCTGTCGCGTATGGAAGTTCATCCTTCGTCTTGGGTTGGCCAAACTGTCCGGTGATGGTGGCCGGCGGGGCAAGCTCTATCATCTCCTATATATAGTGAGCCGGCGAGTGCAATGCCTCGCGTTTTACTTGAATAGAGCAATCCGCATCAGGCTCCAGAGTCTCGCCGAACTTGGCGGCGTCCTGCTCAGCAGGTCCGGGAATAGAAGACGCGGAACTGTCGCTTTCGGCCCTAACCTCGTCGTCGTCTTCTCCAAATGTCCCACTAGATAGACTTGAGGTTTGGTGTTGGTTATCCAGCTCAAAGAGTTCGCTTTCCACGGCCTGATCGTGCCCTTCAGATGACTTGGACTCGGAAGCGGCTCGCTCTCTAGCCTGCTGCGCCTCAAACTCGGCAATCTTCCTCATCTGCTTCTTTGCCCGGCGATTCTGGAACTTGCGAATTCGGCGTTGTCAGATTTCTGAACTTCCGCGCATCCTAAAACATTCTCGCCGCCTACTGTGTGCATACTTGACCTTGACTTGGTCGGTAATACCTTCCCGGCCAATACCGGAGGCAGTGGCGCTTGCTGCTGCCCAGATGTGATGCCGCCAGTCTTGCCATATAGGTAAAAAGGGCGAATCTCAGCTCAGCTTGCATCAACGCTGCTTCTTCACTCCTCCCAACAGTCCGGGTAACCTGGACGCAACAAAGACTCTGCGGGCTGGACAGGAAGCCGGGAAAAGCGGGAGCACCCTGCCCATAATCTGGTTTATAGACACTACCCTATAAAATCCGGCCTCTAATATGTGACTGCGGTGTCCTATTTCCCCACTCTGGCTCTTTGAAGTCCATTCAGTAAGGACCTACTCGCTTCTAGCGCTAGACGTGGTGCGGATAAGTGGTCATGCGGTTGCGCTGCCCCCCAAGAAGCGACGGCAGATCCTTGAGGAGATTGAACAGCGCGCCTAGTACCACCAGGCCGAACGCGCACATGGGGCCTAGGATGGCAAAGATGGCGAAGCCGTACGACGCCAGCTGGAAGGCAGCGTTCCCCCAGAGACGCTCCGTGGCGAGGCCGACCTGCATCGCGGTCAGCACCAGAGCGACGAAGACGGTACCGGCGGCCATCCAAGCGAGGTTGTCGCGGAAGAGGCTACTATAGTTGTGCCGACCACAAAGGTAGGGTTCGAAGGGCGGGAGCCGGGTGAAGCGGTGGATAGCGTTGATGCAGGAGAGGCGGAGCTCGGCACGTAGAAAGCGCGGGTGGACTGCGGCTGGGTCACGCTCATACGTACGGAGGAGCGCTCTGGCGAGAGTCTTCCAGTCTGCCCATTCAATTGGCGAGTCGTCTTCCCCGCGAGGCAAGAGGCGCTTTTCGTTGGCGACGTGGAAGTCACTCTCCGACGATATAAGACAGACGTATGTGTAGAGGAAGCCAAGGGCAACTTTCCGCGGAGTCCCCCAACACGTATCCCCTGGAGGATCGCGGCAAGTACAATCGCCAGGACACTGTAGGTGTCTCTGGCAAAAGGCCGGATCGAGAAGAAAGCGTGGGATAGGCTTGACGAAGAGCCTCCCCTCCTTGGCCCAAAGGAGGTGAAGGTCCATCCGGTCAGCGACGGCGATCTCTCGGCCCATAGCGACATGAAAGTGCAGCGGCGTGGCGGGACGCTTTGCGCCGGCAAACCATAGATGGTTCAGCATGTCGGCCAAAACCCCTAGGGACAGTTCCCTCCGTAAAAAGGCCTATATGTCATCTGCCGGGTTACCGACGATGTGCTTTCGAGGGGCTTCGTAATAGCGATAGGTAGCCGGCAAGGTATCTGTCGTGCTCTTCGGCTTCCCTTTCACAAGCACTTCAGTTTCGAGCTGTATATGAATCGTTAGAGGGTAGGACGTTGAACGTAGGGAGGGCTCCTAGCGTACCGGCCAGGACGGGGGGTGTCGCCGAGCCATGTGGGCGGCAGCGACGGAAGTGTGTCGCTGAACGTGATGGGCTTATGTGTCAACCCGCCCTCACGAGGTTGATGATACACAGAGGCTACTTTGTGAATGCTGTTAGTTAACGGCGTGCCGGCTATCACTTTAGGGGAGGTTCAGCCTCTACTGCATACCGTACCGTCTTCCCGTTTCAACCTCTGTGCCGTTTGTCTTCCATACAATTGGGAGCATCTAGATTGCGCTGCTCGGTCGCAATGCGATATGATTGTCCCGATCAACTGCGGTTGTTAGGCGCCTGTTGACGCCTGTAGACGCCTGTCGAGTTGAGCCGCCCACGCTACTGCGAGATACGGTTGGCTGCGACCGACGTTGCTAGCTGCTTGCGGGTTGAGATGATTGGACACGGTC